AAACAAGACCTTGAAGCCCTCCAAAACCGGGCTGCTAGGATAGTGGCTAGAACTGTGCGCAGCAAGCAGGCAATGGACGTTCTGAAATGGCCCACGTTGGAGGAGCGCCGACGTAAATCTGTCTTTAAACTCGTTAAGAAATGCCTGCAAGGTCAATGTCCCCAGTATTTTAAACAATATTTTAAACGTAATAATACAATCCATGCGCGTGCTACTAGACAAAGCAACCTCTTACATCCGCCTGCTGTGAGAACTGAGATTGCAAAAAGATCCTTCTATTATTATGGTTGCACTCTTTTTAACGAATTATCTTAATGATATTTCGTGTTATACATCTTTTAATCTTTTACTTGTAAATAGTTCTCTATTTATATTATTACCTGTTTTAGTGTAATGTTTTAATGTTGTTGCTCAGGGCTCCCATTGATAACAGACAGCTTTTTGCGTCTGAAGGGGCTACCCTGAGCCTTATAAATTAATAAAGGTTTTCATTCATTCATATCAGCGCCGCTAGGCGCGTGTTTCTCCGTCCCCGAGAATATTTTAGACGAATCGGGAAATGTACGAGGGTAGGATTTATCCGCTGGTAGGATTTATGATGCATGGCCGATTGATGATGCATACAATGAAGTAACAACTTGGAGAAAAAACAGTTTCTTAGTTCCATACGGTAAAAATGGTCGCGCCTTTATTGACCAGTTAACGAAGCACACTGACGATTGGAACAATTGATCACCCATGCAACACCTTGCGCTAAAAGCCGCTATTATTCTTCTCGCTGTTGCGCTACAAAAGCCTGGTCAGAGGTCGAAAGCAAAGGAACATTAAGAATGTCTTGAGAAACGATTAATACTGTGGAGAAATGGCAAGATTGAGTCCCTATTACGCGAAGGGCCTGATCCAACGGCGCTTATCAAAGTCGAACAAGAATGCTCCACCAAATAATGCACGCATTTTTGCAAAGTTGGTCATGAAGGGCCAGATTAATTCGGCCCTACGATATCTCAGTCAGGATGATAGCGGAGAAGTATTACCGCTGACCGGCAATGTTGTGAGACAGCTAAGGGAAAAATGCCCTGATGCGCAGAGGGCCAAGCTGGGGTCGATGTTGTTCGGACCTGTGGAAGATATATCTGACCTAGTTTTTCAAGGGATTAATGGAGAGCTTGTGAGAGAAGCTGCATAAATAACTAAGGGGTCTGGCGGCCCCTCGGGTGTGGACGCCAATGGCTTCAAGAGGATTTTGGCGTGCAAGTCTTTTAAGAGATCAAGTATCAACCTATGTGAGTCTTGCTACACTCACAAGAAGACTGTGCACGGAATTTTTTGATCCGCTGACCATTGAACCTATCGTAGCAAGTCGCCTTATTCCGCCTGACAAGGGTAACGGCGAGGTGCGCCCGAGGTGTGGGCGAGGTGACTACTAGAAGAAAAATTGGCAAATGCGTCGCAAGAGTCACAAAACAAGATGCGATCAACACTAGTGGGGCCATGTAGGTCTGCGCTGGTCAGAAGAGTGGCGGAGAAGCTGCAATACATGCCATGCGCAATATCTTTGAAGGCAGTGAAACTGATGCCGCCTTACTAGTTGACGCCTCTAACGCCTTCAATTCACTAAACAGAGTGGCCGCGCTTAATAACATCAGAGTGCTATGCCCATTGATCGCCATCTATGTAACTAACACTTATCAAGTTCCTGTGCGCCTTTTTGTGGTTGGTGGTAGTGAGCTTAATCCTGCAGAAGGAACCACACAGGGAGACCCCTTAGCTATGTCAATGTAGGCAATTAGTCTACAACCGTTAATGTCGTTACTTCAAAATCAAAGCACTGCAAAACAATGCTGGTTCGCGGATGACGTTACTGGAGCAGGATCCCTAGTAGAGGTTAAGCAATGGTGGGATGAGTTGAGAGAGGCTGGTCCGACCCTTGGATACTATCCTAACTCCAAGAAATGTTGGCTTGTTGTTAAGCCGGAAAAGGAAGGCCGCGTGAAGGAGGGACGCAAACACCTTGGCGCTGCGCTGGGCTCTCGTCTTATCTTGAGCAATATGTGGGTAGCAAGGTAGAAGATTGGGTGAAAGAAGTGACGAGGTTGGCGGAGTTTGCAAGATCACAGCCACAAGCTAGTTACGCAGCATTCACATTTAGGCTTCGACACCGGTGGACGTACTCTATGAGAACAATGCCGGATATTGCAATTGATACCTACGATATAACACCAAGAAGAAAAATCAAGGAACAAAATTAAATAGCAATTAAATAGCAATTCTATCTCCTTCTTAAAAATTATTTTCGTATACAAATCAAATATCCTTGTTACGTTCACACCGTTAAGAATGGAGATGATTACTTTCTGTCATTTTTTTTTCGGTATGTCATGCGGGCGTAAAAACGTGCAAAAGGCATCAGAAACTATTTTCGTGTGTGGTATGAGGCATTCTGTGTTTCGTTCAAATCGTGAAGTGTGTACTGATTTTAGGATATGAGTCAACAACTACATTCATGTTATTTTTCATGTCTCAAAACCGAACATCGTTCTCTTTTCCCGGGGTATTCTCCACAGCTTCTACACCACAAGTAAAATTCGTTCATAAGGGCTCCCAAATCGACCGCGGCTTGAATGACATTCCTTCGACAGATTCAAACTGGTCGCCGAACACAGAGTCACCAACAAAGTTAGTAGAAACCAGCCCATCCATGGCTTTGTTAAGTCTCACAACGAGTTCTATTGGTGTACTGTTACCAGTTTTTCTCCTGGCAGTTTTTCTTTCGTGTGTTGTGTGCGTCTACCACTGGCACAGCGTCAGAGAACGAAGATTAGACTTAGAAGACGAACGAAAGAGGAGAAATCGGATCGGCTCCGATTTTGACCCTGGTTGTACTTTGAGAACTTTCAAGCCAGTTGATAAGGTGAATGCCAACCATACTCTTTCATCTTTTTGCTTGGACAATTCGCTCCATTTTATTGTTTTAAGCGTCAGTACCTGACCTTTTTTTCTTGCTAAATTTATTGAAGTCAATCCGGCTTTACGGGCAAAGGAATATTAATTAATAACTTCGCAATATTTTATATAACTTACTAATAAATAAGGAAGAAAAGATTTCGGTGTAAACCCTTTCTATTTAAAAGTAAAGTATTAATCGCAAAGGTAAACTGTTGTTTTACCAGCTTTTGTTTTCATCATCAACCAACTGTACGCATGATGAAGTGTGAGGTTGGATGGAAATCTTGCTTTGAACAACATCGAGAGATTATGTAATCTGTATATAAACAGCGTTATAAATGTCCTCCTCTCAAGGCTCAGAAAGTTCGAATGTACCCATGGAAGTCCACAAGAATTCAAGACTTGCCTGATATCAGTAACAACGATGGATTTGAGATTCCCATCTCACTTGAAGCGAACAGCAAAGCAGGTTGTTTCCATGGTCACAGTCGCCGTCGTTTAGCCATGGGTCACATTTCAGTGCCTTACGAGAGACCCGAACTGAAAAGGGACCTCGTTCATAATAGCACTGCTGCATCCACTTCGGAGCTATCAGGTAAAGTAATAAACCCATGAGGGACTGGTCATTAATTATCGCCTAAGGCAGCGGGGGGGGTCGAAGAATTTTGTCGTGTCACGATCTCATTTACCTGACCCCCCCTCCTTTTAAGGCTCTTCAACATTCTTATGATTCCTCCCTCATCGGCGGTCAATTTTTTACCATCTCCTTTTTTCGCCGAAACTGACCCCTGCTCATTTTCCCCTTAAAACCATGTGATTCCCCCGAAAAAATTTCCAATGCTTTTCCCCCGTAATAATAATAATAACTGGTCCCAAGGAGAATTTCGAGTAACATTTCACTCATGTTTCTTTACAATGTTTTCCCTTTGTTTAGTTTTGCCTTTCTCCTCATTTCCTCGTCGTTTCTTTCTTTTTCTTTTCATTCGTATCTTGTCGATGACGTTGGGACTTTTTTCATTTTTCATTTGTTCTTTTCTTGCATCGTTTTACGACAGTGTTATTGTACTACATCAGGCGAAAGGTACAGTAATCCTGATGGATGACTTGAAATCGACTATAGCAGGCCAGAACTTTGTCAAACAACCTTGTTAATTTATCTCAATTTTTGCCAGTTCGAATTCCTAATCATGTATCAACGTAGCAAAACTGCAAAAGAAAAGATTTGTTTAGTTTGGAACTGAAAAAATTTCACATTGTTCCTTCTCCCTTTCCGTCAGAAACTGATTTCAGTTTGAAGCTCTCATCGTCAAGGTCAGCAGACACTCCCACCAACAGCTGCGTAGTGGCTTCCATAGAGAAAGAAAAAACTGGATTGGCTGATGAATGTTACGTCACTGACATACGAGAAGAAGCAATTCATTTGACACACTTTGATGTGGATGGGCAAGTAGTGGTGGAAACAGTTAATGGTTCGTTGTTGGAATACTGGGTATAAATTTAATAGCATTAATAATATGACAATCCAGCTCTGACGAAAAAAAAAATGTGTGTTAACTTGATTAAGGTTCATTTCAAGTTCAAACTTACATTTATTTTCCATTAAAATTGTCAATGGTTGTTCAGTATTAAATTTTACTGCATTTGTTACCTCTGCTATCGTTTATTTCAATGGATGTAGATTTTAATAAGCTTCACTTCACTTAACTCTAGTATATGTTGATTAAGCCCAGCCAAGCCTCTAAGCCACATTAAATTTGTACGGTTCCTAGAAACTACCCTCGAGTTGGCCGGAACTGAATGATAATAAAAATAGGCAGTTCGGACATAGGGCTACCCTGCGAGCAGAGCCTTTTCTTCTTTTCTTCTTCTTTTCTTCGATTCGAGGACGGGTTAAAAAGGCTCTGCTCGCAGGGTAACATAAGGCTACTGCTACCGCATCTCACATAATTCTGAGTCTAAATCAGACTTTATTCTCCAAAATAGAATCGGAAACTTTGGGCCAAAATCGGATACTCTCCTCCGAAATCAGATATCATGGCGTCCGAAATTATGAACTTTTCAAGACGGTGAAAGGAAACAACTTAGTCGACACTTTTTTTTAGCACGCTTCATGTTCAGTGCGCTTTTCTCATTTTATTTAGGTTTTTCGCTTTTGTCAATGTTCATATGAAGACAAGAGATTTGATTAATCTAAATAACGTTCGTATTCGTGCCACATAAGACCATATAATAACCAGGTAATTTGGTTATATCAACTAAGTTGAAATTTAACAATTGGCCACCGTAACGAATAAAAAAGCTGACGTTTCGAGCGTTAGCCCTTCGTCATTCGCTAACGCTCAAAACGTTAGCTTTTTTATTCGTTACGGTGGTCAATTTACAATTTCAACCCAGTTGATGTAACCAATTTACCTTGTTACCCCCACCGACGCAGCACCACAGTTTCTTTTAAAACTTCCAGGCTTTATTCATACAATAACCCTCGTTCCCAGGGTCTTTTCTAAAGGAAAAGGCCCTGGGAACGAGGTTGTATGATAACTTTCCATAAATCTCTCCTCCCCTTCCCCCAGTGTTTCGAAGAATGAGGCCAGGCTGCTGAACTATATGCAACATTTTGTTTTCGAGCTCTGGTTTTCGAGCTAAGGAAGCAAAGAACGGGATATTTTTCGCTGAAATGGTTTCGCAATTCAGAGGAAATTCAGGTTTTATAATTTCTTAAGATTTTCGTAATGCCTATAAAGAATAAATTTACATCGAAAGACTATACAGGTCCTCTTCGAAAACCTGGAGAGCAGCGAGTAGACTTAAACACACAAGAAGGCAAGGATGAAACCTCTTCCGCTTCAAATGAAACTGATAAAGGTAACATATTGTAGTCATTATACCTTGAATAGAAATTGTATATCCCTTGGTTTCTAATTCCTTGGTATGTATTTCAAAGTGAATTGAAATCTCGAAGAAAAATTTGTGTGTGAATCTGCACAATCACAGCTCAAAACGCGGGAACATGAATGCATTTACATGTGTAGTTGAAGTCCAAAGCTCGAATCATCCAAAACCCATTTTAATGTTTTATATCTTTATTTGTAGCTTGATAGGTTATCCGTTTTTATGCGAGCAAAGACCACATTTGATCAGTCATTTTTGCCAGTATGGTTCCAGGAACTTATTTAAATTATAGAACGACTACTTACTACCTAAGAGAGAGTAAAAATGTTCACGAGTAAATAGGGTTCAGAAAGATTTCCGTAAAACCCCGTACCATTTTGAAACAAAGCAGTATATCCAAAGGCAATCTACTGTTTTTGCCATTTTTCACTTAATCCAGAGTCTGTATGGGTCATGAAGTAGAAGGCCTCCCGGTTAGCTCAATTGGTTAGAGTGCCGGACTGTGTTGTGCGAGAGGTCAAGGGTTCAAGCCCTGGCCAGACCGATACTCATGGTCTTAAAATAAGTGAGGAGAATTTGCTACCTTTCTATAATCAAAAAAATGGATAGATTTTCTAGTCTTCTCGGATAAGGACGAATAAACCGTAGGCCCTGTCTCCTGCAGGGTTAGGGGTAGGAGACGTTAATTTCCCATGCACAAGATTACTGTGTACTGGATGTCCTCCCCTGTGGTGGGATGGGAATTGGCCCTGAAAAGCCCCTATGGGGAGTGGTCAGCTAACGTATGTATGTATGTATGTATGTATAAGATAAGGCTGTGCAAAAATCTTGCCTTAGATTCAACTGGAGCAGATCACCTTTTAAGCATTACTGTTTGAGTTGCATGGTAGACTTGGGTGATAGACTTGTTTATCACAATTAAATACCGCAGTGGAAATTCTACACCATGCCCAGCGGGTATGAGCGAACAGTTGGCATATTTGTCAGCATTCTCTTTGCGATCAGCGAGCCATTAATGTTGTTTGTACTTAGTGCAATCTGTAAAATTTTTGTCATGACGAGTTTCAATTTTAAAAAGTGGTGCAGTGATAATGGACTGAAGGAGGGCACGACAGAGATATTAAAGAACAACGACCTGGACAGCCAGGATGCCTTTAAGTTAGTTCATGCAGAGGATGTAGGAGCACTGGACTTAACCCTCGGGCAGAGGAAACTATTCATGCAGGCCTTAAACTTGCTGAACAGCAACGACCAAGACCACAAGACGGAGGTGAAGCATTTGAGTGAGAGCACCCCAGTAACTACCAAATCACTAGCCAATGATAGTGGCTTGGAAGACCTGCTTAAAAAGATCAGCGGAATCTCAATGGATGACCCACTTCTAAAGCTCGGAGCCACAGAGCAGCCATTGTCCATGCCCCTCGAGAGGGTTGACAACAACCCGCAAGTGTTCTTAGAAACTTAACACCAAGCGCAGTCCAAGAAAGAAGGTGAGACAAAACCTTTGCTTATTCCTGACTTTATAAGTACTACGACTTACGATGGATCCGTTAAGGATGAGCAAGAAATTGGTGGGTCTGCTGGTGCACGAATTGTCCTACGTGCTCCTAGAAGTAAACCAAAATTGGAAAACATTTCACTGTCCATGTGGGTTGCCGCAAATGCGAGAATTATGCACAAGCTATCAAACAAAGGAAAGCTTTCAGGCCCGTCCCAGATTGCCAATTATCTCTCATACACTGTGAAAGTAGCAGAACTGCTCGAGTCTCACACTTTTACCTCTGTTGTCATCTATGACAACAAATATTGAAAACTTCAGCACCAGTACGGATTTCGCTGGGGCAGTGATTCACAGCATCTTCATATGCGGTTCCTTGTCAAATGTCGCGCACTGACTCAATCCAACCAAGCTCTGGCTTGGCCTTATGCCGACTCGCGCTCCAATTCCGGCCGCCAGCCACAATTTGTCCGGCCAATCTGCCACCAATTTAACTCCTTGTCGGGCTGTAATTGGCCTCAATGCCGCTGTCAACACGTCTGCCTCGTGGCAAATTGCTCTCAGCTCCACCCTCAACACGAACATCCACCCACGATGTCAAATCGACGCACATGACTCGGACCCCACCCATGTTTACACCCATCTTCGTTAAACAATAACATTGACGTCTGGACAGAACATTTGACTAATGATATTGACCATGACTATCTGCTGAAAGGACTAACAGATGGCTTTCATATCATATCACCTGACTCTGAACTACGACACGCAGAAATGACCAATTACAAATCGGCTACGGGACATGATATTCTCGCCAAAGTTGAAAACGCACTACGCAACGAAATACAGCATGGAAACTACATAATAACAACTGAAAAACTGACCATAGTAAGCGGGTTGGGGGCGATACTCAAAACCGGACAGCAACAACGTCCGCCAAGCGTCTCCATGGCAATGTTGTTTGGTAAAAGCTCCCTATCACCCCAAACATTTTACATAAACTCCATGGAGAGCTTGTCCTCACTAACTAGTTCGATGCGACATTTTGGGCTGCTTGTATCAGCGCCTTTTTCTCTTTCTTTCACAAGTCTAATCTCCTCATCCCACTGGCGAGCTCATTTGACCCCCTAAAACACTTGCGCATGTGCGATATTTGCGTTTACAACTGGGGCCTGCTGCTCTTAGTGCGCTGGTGGAAAACAATCCAGTATCGCAATTGCACCCTGTTGGTACCTGTTCCGAGGATAGAACACTCTAAACTCTGCCCGCATAAAGCAATTGTAAATGCCTTTAAATTGGTAGGTGCACATGACTCTGCTTTGCTTCGAGAGGGCCCTGCTTTTGTGTACACATCCGGGGGCCATGTTAAACCTCTAACTTACACTACGTTTACTACGGCAATGCGGATTTGACGGAACCCTGTACTCTGGCCACTCTTTTCGTCATAGAGGAGCCACCTTTGCGCTGCACTGTGGTTTCCCTGGGCACTATATTAAGCTTCAAGGAGATTGGCTTTCTAATGCCTACGAACATTACCTCGATACTACTCTGCTGTACAAGTTTATGGCCATCAACTTGATAAGCAAATCTATCCCTTACTGACTTTCTCACCGACTCTTTTGGGGTTTTTGGGGAGCATCACGTATGGTCTTAGGCAATAAAGACCCAGTTACCCCCAATTGAGTTGGTGTGTATTTAGTGGGTGATAGACTTGTTTATCACAATTAATACCGCAGCGGAAAATCTACGCCATGCCCAGCGGGTATGAGCAAACAGTTGGCATATTTGTCAGCATTCTCTTTGCAATCAGCCAGCGATTAATGTTGTTTGTACTTAGTGCAATCTGTAAAATTTTTTTTTCTTCTATTTATTTCTATGGGGAGCATCGCATATGGTCTCAGGCAATAAAGACCCAGTTACCCTCAATTGAGTTGGTGTGTATTACAGTTTCACCTAAGAGTTACATGGTGTTTAACCAAAATTAGATACATGTCAAAAGGTGCCAGTAGTCGATCCATATCATACTTAATGATATAATTTGGTTTTATCCACCAAGCTGATGGTGTGGAAACCTAATTATTTTTCTCCCCCCACCCCCACTCCTACAGTTGTAGCACCACAGTTACTTAAGACACTTCCCCACCTTTTATCATACTTCATCTGGATTATATGTTACAGCTGCAATGAAGTCTCTTGTTAAACAGTTAGTTTCTGAAACTAGGCACAGGTACCTTTTGGGTACCAGCTGGGTGATATTCAGCTGGATGAAAAGTAAAGTAATTTGATTATATCAACTCAGTTGAAATTGTAAATTGGCTTCTGCAAAGAGTTAAAAAGCTGACATTTCAAGCGTTAGCCCTTCATCAGAGCCCTTCACCATTCACTCTGACAAAGGGTTAACACTCGAAACATCAGCTTTTTAACCCTTTATGTTGGCCAATTAACAATTTCAACTTAGTTGATGTAACCAAATTACCTTGTTACCCCCCCACTGATGCAGCACTACAGTTTCTTTAGAAAGTTTCACCCCTTATGGATGATAAACAGCTAGGTGATAAGATACTGGTCAGATTTTGACTAAGGTAACTAGTTTGCTGATTTTTCATCTTCATTTTAATGTCAAAGGTACCACTCGTGTTGATTTGTCAGTACCTCGCAGTGAGAAGGGTGCAGAAGATGCTACCTCTCCCATGACTGTAAACCAAGAAACTGATGAGAAACCTGTTGAAGGTGTTTCTCCTGTTCCTTTGCCACTAGACGCTGGAAAAGATAAAGGTGATACCACTACTGAGTTATCAGTTGGTAATGAATCTGGGGAAAAACCTGCTTGCGAGGCAGAAAAAATGGATAAACCATTGGATGAGAAAGAGCAAGAATGTAAATTGCCAAAAGAGAGCAACTTTCTTTCTTCTAAAACAACAAAAGAAACTGCTAAAACTGAAGATAGCAAAAATGAGAGTGATCAGAAAGAGCAAACTGTTACAAATCACAATGAAACATCCCTAAGAGAGCCTACAAGCAAAATTACAAATCTATCACCATTTGCAAGAGAATTTGTCCCTAAGGCTTCCCTTAATCCTGCGTCTGTAGTCGAAGCCCCTGAATTTGTACCTGCTACAGTTCCACAACAACCTGAAAGACCACCTCTATTGCAAAGGAGAAATGACATACCTGAAAATGAACTGATGAACTGTGTTAAAGATGTTCTTTTTGGACTAACTCAGAGTCCTGGCGAGTTAGATTATTATTATGAAACTTTAGTTGATAAGATAAAGAAAAGTCTTGGTACGCTGACTTCTTTGAAGGAGGTGGTAGATCTCATCTTTGAATATGTGAGTATCAGTTTTTGTCAAGATACATTTCATTAGTGTTTGTCAGATTTTAAATGGGTACATATAACTTTTATGGATATAAAAGTGGTAAATAATCATTAAAGAAAAGTTATAAACTTACATTATCTTGTTGTACAGTATTATGCAAAAGTAATGCAAACAAAAATTGCCAATTACTTAATGTTAAACATTTGTGCAAACTTTCATGTGAAAGTTTATGTGAAGATTCTCACCTACACCTGGCTTTGTACCTGTAGTCTAAAATTCCCTATAAGTTAAATTTTTCTAACAAACTGAAAATATGATTAATCATGAGGTGAATAGTAATGAACAAAGTATTGCCTTTATCATGATCCCTGAAATATCCTTACTTGCATTTCCCTTAGTCAATAACAGAGCCCAACTTCCAGTATATAGCAGCTAAACTATGCAACTTGTTATCAATGGAGGAAGCCATTTTCTTGGAAAATGGCGAAAGGTTCAGGAGTGTTTTCATGAACAGGTGAATTGAAAATTCCATTACCGATGTTCAAAGTTATGTCATCTCTTTTGCATACAGAGTTGTTGACAGAGTTTAATATTGCATGTGTTGATTATCAGAATTGACAAGATATGAATGTTTCATAAAATAATAATATTCTACCCTGACTCCTGTTGTACTTTATTTATTTCCAGATGTAGGGATGAACATACAATCAGAGAGGAAGCTATAAAAAATCCACAAACTTTGGTACAATTGCTTGGATTTGCAATGTTTGAGGCTGAGCTCTTTTGCAACTACAGGGTAACAGCAGTTTAAACTTGCTTAAATTACATGACCATGTTAGAAGGATGAAAGAAAGGTTCAAACTGTTATTACCTGTAAGTGTTATACAATGTACCGGTATATGTTCTTAGATTGTGATGTTCATAGCTTACGTGTAATGTCTTTTCTTTCACAGCCCCTAGGTGAGAGTGAACCTTTGAAGGTATTTCACAGAGGATTATTAGAAATGTTGTCCACCCTTTTGCAAAACCATACAGAGGAATGCCTAACATGCATTGGCAAAATATTGAAGGTATTAAAATAACCACCAACAATCAAAGCTACAATCATGTAAATTGACAATTACGTGTACTGTCATAGTTGGACAGCCATAATAATTGCCACTTTGGTAAAGGATCTTTTTCTTAACTCCTGAACAAACTCCTACTTTGCATTTTCCCAGACAGTCAGTGGCCAGGTTCATTCCTAAATTAAACATCATACTCTGTAGGTTAAACCTAGTACCACTGTTGTTTGAAGAGTAAATAAAGGATTCTAGCAGATAAAAGTTTGCTTTGGGTACACTTAATGCTATCTGCAAGATTGCTATTTATGCAATAGACTGCATCGCCCATCCTTCAAACAAGCAAGTTCAATCAAGAACACTCATGAACACTTTTCTAAGGTGGTGTCACTAATCATCTTTTACGTTTGCACCTTTTGCTGTAATATGATGTGTTTGTTTGTTTGTTTACATTTTTGGTTGGTATCTAGATGACAGGATATCTTCTCGATGACCCCAGATTTAAGGAAATTGACAAAGAAAGAAAGCAAAAAGTCGATAAAGTTTTCTCCGATGTTGAAGAGCTTCTAAAAGAATCCACACTGTCAGAAAGGTAGAACCATTCACATCAGTCAATCTTACCAACGTATTGGTAGTTTGTCGGCCAACATGTCAGCCAACTGTTGGTTGATCCTACTGATGTGTTGGTAGGATCAAATTCTTTACCTTTACCAAAAAGCCATTAATTTTTATTAGGAAAGTTCTATTTTACATGTAGTTTTTTAACTAGCCATATTCCAAGGAAAGGGCATTGAAGGGGTAAAATGGAACAACCAGATCAACAAATCAAAGTAAAAAAAAGAACAAATGAAGGTGTTTAGTGAAAAAAGAAACTTTCTAGTAATTTCATCCATAAATATGCAGCAGAATTGCTGTGGGTGTGGAATACATAACCTTGTTGGTTGGAAGCTAGTTCTAAATATGATTCTACATCTAAGTTTCCACATGCAGTATCTCCTGACTTAAAAATCCTGCTGCTGAGGTAAGGAGCAGTTTGAAAGAGATATCCAACCTCCTGCCTCTCCTTCAGCCATGTTATATATGTACACTGTACTTAGTCTAGTGCTTTCACACCCAGCTGCTCATTGCCTCTGCCACAGTGTTCTTGTCCATGACTTAGCCAATCCAGACAGTAAGTGGTATTTATGTAATGAGTGGAGATGGTTTACTTTTCCAACCAACATTATATGTACATTAAGTGATTTTATGTCGTTAGATAGGGGAGAATATACTTATTTTCCATCAATTACAGCAAATATAATAACATTATGGAAAGAGTGACAATCTCTAAGCTAATTTAAGTTTTGTTCCACACTTTCTTGCCTGCAGTGCAAAGAGGTTACTCTCTCAAGTTATAAAGCTACGGGCATCCAAATGGACCTCCAGTCCAGCTCCAGTAGCAGCTGGAACATCATTTGACTTCCCCCCTGACAATGGATACTCTTTTTCTGACTATGGTCTTGGCCTGGTATGTTACTGTGTGAACTTTCATAAAAAACCAATCAATGTGAATTTCACCCTTTCACTTCCAAGATCTGATTGTTAATTCTCCCCTCTAGCTGCTACAAACTTCTATATAAATTAGTTATGAGACTTTGGGTTTAGGTCTACCTGATACCTGTATGTTTGAGTATTCACATTACATGTTTACTGGATAATGTATGGATATTGTACAGAGAAGCTACAATAAAATACATATATCTTATTAACCAAGCGCGAGGGCCGTACTGGGAGAATATTGGCCTGAGGTCTTGACAGTATGGACCGAGCGCAGCGAGGTCCGTACAAAAAAGACCGAGGACGGATATTCTTCCAGTACGGTCCCGAGCAAGCTTGGTTAATAAGAGATTTATTATAGGACTGAAGTTCAAAGGGACACAAGTGCAGTATCATTCGGGACCATTCGGGACAGTGCCTGGTCCAATACTTAGAGAATATTGGACCGGCAATAGAGCATTTTGATTGGTTGATTTTAGTTATTGGCCCTCTGACTGCCCGTGTCGTGTAATAAAATACGTGTATGGTGTGTTTTAGGATCTGTGACACTTAGTGTTAGTTTCTTCATTGGCTAGGCACGCAGTGTGGCAGTTGGTAATTGAATATTATACTCTACACTCTTTGTTGAAAAAGCATCAATTTTTACCCATTTTTATTATTTATTATCATTTATTTATTATTTATTCATTTATTGTTTTATTGTATATTATTTTATTATTTATTATCATTTATTTATTATTTATTCATTTATTGTTTTATTGTATATTATTTTATTATTTACTATTTTTTATTTTTTTACTGAGTTTTTCATGAATTTTTGTTTTCTTCATTATCTTTCAGGATGATTTGACAATCGATGATTATTTAACACCAGTGACAAATCCAGGTAAAATATTAATTGTCAGCGTAGTAGACTGGATATTATTACTGGATACAGTATTATTTGGTTTTTTAGGTCTAAGACAGTTTATCACAAAGGTAAAGAATTACATTGAATCATGACTATCTTGTTATAATATGGTGGCTCTATTAGAGGTACGTTGGATCAGTAGCTTGTGTTACAAATTTCTTCACAAGATAAAAGTTACGTTTCTATTGTTACTAACTGAACTGATAATCAGTTCTTATTAACCAAGTGGGAAGTCTGTATGGAAGAATCTTGACCGAGGTCGCCAGTACAGACCGAACGCAGTGAGGTCTGTACCAGTGACCCAAGGTCAAGATTCTCCCATACAGACCAACCTAGCTCGGTTAATAAGATGCTTATTATATGGCTTTGTCTTATATACCAGTTTTTTATATTCTTTGTACTTTTTTTCTAGACCAGTCTAGATGCTGGTCTAGAAGGGAAAATCTAGACTGCTTTCAATATTGATTTCAGCCAATCAAATTTGTGAATTTGGTAGTTCCCAGTCCTTGTAAGACACACCCATATAATAAAAGGTAGTTAAATGGTTAAAAAGTATTGAAAATATGTAAAAATTCATAGCTAGTCTTACAATGCTTTCTTTCATTTTGAAAATTAGATATACGTAAGAATTTTAAGAATCGTCTGCATTAACTTTGGGGCGACGACATGATTTGTTTTTTTGGTAATATTTCATCTTCTTTTTTTTGTGGGGTTTAAAAAATTATTAGAATCATAATGGGGTCATAATCATCATGGGATTTTATTCCATGCATGTCAGAGTTTTATGATACAGCTCATGACTCAACAAGTGTTTGTGCTTAACTTCAAACAGAGCAATGGAGTGAGTACTTTGATGATGGAGAAGATGATACAGAGCAGCAAGAAGCTTACAGGTACTACTTTCCTGAAAACTTTGAGGGTGATTTCAGGTATGTATCATTTAGAATAATTAATTTTAAGCTCAGTGCAGATTACCATCCTAAATCCTTTAAATACCTGGATGTGAAAGTTTTGGCAGGTTGCTTTCAAGCACCTGAAAGGACTAACCTGAGCCTTAAAGCCTGAAAGATGTATTCTGCACATCAATGACCTTACACTTCTTTGGTGCTGGCTATTCATGACAATTTGGGCCTATTTCTTAAAAAGGTTCCACAGATGATGATTTGGCAATTTTTGTCTTCCTGTGCACTCCATAAAGTATATTACAGTCACGTAACCCTTTGACCCTCTTGAGTGACAAAGACAGAATTTCTCCTAACAATGTCAATACAGTAAGAGTTGAGGATAAAGAGAAAACAACAAGTAGCTTTTTCAAAGCTAAAATGTTATAAATCACCTTTCTTGGTGAATTGTTTTAATTTCTGTCTCCTCTTTTGTCAACACGATTACTTCCAGTCATGAAGATGGTGGTTTTTACCTTGAAGATGATCCAGAATTTGATGACGAAATTGACCAAGAATATGAAAAGTTCTTACAAGAGCAAGGAGAATTTCAATAAATTATTTAATAAAATAGATAGCTGTTCTTTGTTAGCTTTGAGGTAACTGTTCTGTACTTTGAGTTAGAGTTTTTATCACATGAGGGATATTTGCACTGTGATAATTTATTGATTGACAAGTTGCATGTACTTGATCAATAATCTCAACTGACATCTGAAACTGTATTTTTCATAGCATTCTAATGGGCAGCAGTATATTGATGTACCGCATGATACATGAACTCTTGTATTTCTCAATATAAGAGTCTTTTTAACTCTTTGATCTCCAAGAGTGACCAGCGTCTAATTTCTCCTATCAGTATCACCCATCAATCAAACATTAAGGTATTGAGAATAAGTTAAATGATCACAAACTTAATAAACTATTGATTGCTAAACAAATTCTCCTTGTCAGCACCTTAGGAAATGTATAGAGAACAGTATGGAGAATATGCGTTCTGGTATTAAGGTGTAAAGTGTTAAAGGCCTGTATGGATGTGATGTGTGTGTGTGTGTCGCACACACGAGTTTTTTCCACACAATTCAAAGTCACATAGTAACGTCACATGACAGTACTACTCACTACTGTGTTGCTAAAGCCTAGTTCCCACTAGCGATATAATGATCATTTTTATAAGCACGAACATAACGCTGTTATGTTGCTTATGCCTTAGTGGTAAGGTAAAGTCTGTTTACGAGCCTAGTGGCCCATTAGGCCAGTGCTTAACTCCGGTTTCTGTAGCATGAAGCGACTAGGCGTATTTCTACTCCCCCCTGGATGGGATGCCAGTCCACCGCAGGGCTACCCCCAGCATTAAATTGCCAGTACCCATTTATACACCTGGGTGAAGAGAGGCACTGTGAGAGTAAAGTGTCTTGCCTAAGAACACAACACAATGTCCCGACCAGGGCTCGAACCCGGACCACTCGATCCGGAGTCGAGCGCACTAACCATGAGTGGTCGCACTAACCACCGCGCCTCCACTTATGCCTTGGTGGGAACGTCCAGAAATATAATCATAGGCGTCCTTATGATCAACATAATCGTAAGAAAATGATCGACCATTTTCTTATGATTATGATTATGTCTCTGACTATGACTATGTTGCTTTTCTTTTGGTAGTAGGAACGCGAAAATCATAACGACACAATGAGAAACATATTGGCGCAACGGGATTATTGTGTTTTGGCCAATTAAAGTCTAGGTCTAGTACTTTCGGGTCGGTTCATTTCAAGATGGCGGCCAGATTCGCAACACGTTCTTTACGTTTTTAGAGCGGCCGTTCCCACTAGAACATAAGAAGCTTATGTTTATGTTCGTGATTATGATTATGATCGTTATGTCGCTAGTGGGAACTAGGCTTAAGAGTGAATAATCCCATAAGACATTATAATGAGTACCATTCGAAAAAGATTGACTAGAATCCATGGTAATAGTACACATGTTTGAAAGAAAATAATCAGAACACTAAATATTGTTTGTTAGTTAAAGTAGATCTAGTGTGAATCATTTCACGCAGCAGGTTTTATTCCTTCAGCGAGTGAAAAGTAAAACCGCCTTACACAGGGTAATAAAAACTCGGCGGAATGACCGTCATGTGAATGTCTTACCTTGGAATTTTTTTCCATATATGAAACTACAGTGCGTTTTTGTCTTTTACATTGTATTTAGAACTTCATAGAGTTGTAGTTGTAGTTATCTAGATCTCTGTCATCGATGTGACATGGAAACAAAACATAAACAGCTGTTTTAAATTAAGAAGTTTTTTTTTTTTTTTGACAATCATTAAAAGAATTAACTGTTCAGGTAACGTGTTGGGTGGAACACCACAGATATGATAATATTTGTTCGGAAGTTCGCGATAGTCAAAATTGAGAGTCCCCTCTATGATGCGCTAATCCCTTAAGTCAGGGGTTTGACTGAAACGATAAACTATTTCGCTACTGTCAAATATTTGAAAGAGGTCTTGACCGTGACAGTGCTTTAGTTTGACAGCTGACAGGAAAAGCTATCAAAGATAAACTTTGTTTTCCAGTGAAAGAACTTGACTTGAGAGACGGCGTTTCTGCTTAACGGGTAACAGAAGTATTCGGTATTGGTGGGGAAGGGAGTGCGTTGCTTCAAAAAAGACTAGAAACTGGAAGTTTTGAAACAAAGGGAATAGTGTCCACTGGTCAAACTTGGGGCTTTGAGACAAGGGGCCACTACTGTACCATGACAACACCGAGAACAGTTTCTTGTTTCTTCCCAGACTTAACCGGACAAAGTTGCAGGAGTTGGAACATTGAGGGACTGGGCTAATGACTCAATGACAATTGACCTATTCAAATATTGATGATATTAATCTTAACGAACTGGTACTTACACATTATTCAACTGGGATGCCGAATGTTAGCATACATATGCCAAAATGTACCAGTTGTACATCCTGCCTCAGCCAATGAGGTGCGAGATTAGAAACTATCCTCAGGGATAGATACATGTACAAACGATTAGAGTCATCAACAGTTAAGTGGTTTCATCACTCGGTTGCATCAGCCTCTGCTTTTACATCAACTTCAGAAATTAGCCCTGTTTCCCTTTGACTCTCCGACTCTGCGTTGATCGATGTCAAGCTGGAGACATTTCAGTGTTTACTTTGGTCCTGAATGAAAGCCGTGCATTTGTTAAATAATAATTAGCATTTGTTATCTGTTGCATTCTTTCCTAACCACGAGAAGCACAGCAAGACAATGTTATAGATCGTCTCGCAGCCCTTGGTGTCCAAACGCGGAGGCAAGAGTTGATTGAATAACTCAGTACAAAAGGAATGTTTATTACTGTAAAATATGGAGGTAAGATTCTAAAGACTCTCTCACCCTCACTGTTGTTAATTGGTGCGAAATCAAGACATATCATATGAGCGAGAGACAAGTTGTCTCAGTGTTTAGAACCCTTAAACACTGTGGCTTCACCTGGAGCAGTCTCTCTTCACGTAACCAGGCCATTTTTTTTTTGTGCCGAACAGATTTCTATGTCCTTCGATTAATTTACTGGCCTATTTTACTCAACTGTCGCCTAACAGACTAAGTTAAACCTGATTAAATTTCAGTCTACAAAAAGAAGTAATTTTTCTAATTATAACTAAAGCGATTATGGCGGATGTGGACCTTGCTCAGTCGGATCAATTTAACTGATTGTTTTCCTATAGTCCTTTGCTCGTCTGAAATTTGCTCGATGTCCGAGTTATTTCGTGCCCTCACTGAATCTACCGAAGAAGCTATCGGATGTTGTTCAGTTTGAGTATAGAAGGTTCTTGATGTAAGGCAGTGATGTCAAACGATAACATTGGCGCTTAATGAGTATGAAATACAGAAAGGAATTCTTTTTCAATACTAAAACCTCATCACACAATAGATTGTTCCCATTTTAAACACATGTTAAACGTGTTCTTGCAGATGATTTGATTCTTCCGAGAGCCAGATTGTTCATGGAGCATCCCTGGCTCTTTTGATTCTGAAATTAATCCGAGCAGTGAGTTGCAACTCATATGAAACTTACTGTGTTCAGTTGTCTAAGTACTAAGTTTTTTAATCTTCGTTTTGCGAAATGAACCAGATTTGGTAACTGTCACCGTTTGTTAGTAATTTGTGAAGGTGAAAAAGGGTTTATGTGCAATGACTGCTCTCAGTCAGATTTTCCAACTGGCTTCTCAAACGTCCACAATTAGTGTCAACCAGCAAGACTCAATTTTAACCTTGATTGGTCGAGAACTCTGTGACTCTGTTGACGAAAACATTGAACAAATACGATACTTAGTAAAGCTTTAATGATGTAGATTATGGAGCTAATCATTACCACCTAACCGGTGCTAATTAAATTGCCCTGTACTGACAATTGTGTCACTCTTTTTACTCCTCTAGATCACAGAGAGGCTCTGTTTAACCCAAACTGCCGCATTATTCACCTGTTGGAAGACATTAAGAGGCGATGTAACTGTGCTGAGAATGGTTTGTGTTTAGTTTGGGTAAAGACTTCATCCATTAAACTATTTTTCGTGCTCACATTGCCATATCAGCAAAGGAAATATACGAACTTATACAGTAAACACAGGTTAAACGCCCCTACCCTCCCCCCTGTTGTAAGGGAGCACTGTCAAGAATGACAGCCTGACGCTGCTATGTGCGTTTCGACATAAAAGGGTACTTTTAGCAAGGTAAGATTGAGAAAGGGAAGAATTAGGAACGGGATGGGTATGGGGGACGGAAGAGCATAGGGTTTGGGAAGAAAGAACATCATTTCGGGTAGGAAGCGTGAAAGAACTGCAAAAATACGGACATTCGTTAATGATTAATCTACAACGATTTCCCGATCAATAGCGGGCTTATGGAGAGCAGGGTAAGGAAGTCGGAGAATTCTTGGCATCCCTCCTCTCCGGTTTCTCCGCTCAATATACTTAACCTTTCCGCTCCCATCAATGGTAAAGACAGAATTTACCCTTATAATTTTATAATTTTAATACAATATCAAGCAGACAAGTGATGAGAAGAAAGAAAAATACAAATAAGGGGATCATCAGTTGATCCAATATCAAATTCTCCAAACTAACATAGTGAGAACTGTATGGCAGACAGGGAGGAGAATTACTAATGGGAACTTGGGGGTGAAAGGACTTGGATACATCAAAAAAGTTGAAGTGGTAAATTGGCCACCGTAACGATTACAAAAGCTGACGTTTCGAGCGTTAGCCCTTCGTCGGAGCGAATAGAGGAATTGTGGGTTGCCATGTTCCACCAATAACGTAGCTCCATTCTCTGCCTTTAAAAGCACACACAACCCACAATTCCTCTATTCGTTCCGACGAAGGGCTAACGCTCGAAACGTCAGCTTTTGTAATCGTTACGGTAGCCAATTTACCACTTCAACTTTGTTGATATATCCAAGTTATTTCGTTACTCCCACCGACGCAGCCCCAAATAGTTTCTTTCGAAACTATCAGCCTTTATTCATTGGGAGTGAAAGGGTTAAGGAGACGTCAGGGATAGGTGACTTTGACGGACGGTAGAGTTCTCCGAGAACCATTACACCTTTAGGTGGGCGGGACTGGAATCCCAGCTGATGTTATGGAAGACAATCAAGTGGTTATGTTTTTCTTATTTGTTGTCGAGTACAAATACTGCGCATTTGTGTTTTTGTTGGTTGTAGAATCTTTTTTCACGTCACTGCAAAACGCCCTCGTTTATGACTTCACATGACGACTTTTTCCTTGACGATAAATGATGATTTAAGGATTTTTTCTAATCACTGCACTTTTGTTGTTATTAAACAGCGGTCATTGACCTCTCGGATCTGCAGGGGGCAGTGAAGAATCTAACAGATCACCAAGCATCGAACGGAATTGAATTCCTCAATGAACGAGAAACGTTTATTCTCGTGCGAGTTGAAAGTAGGTAACTGTCTCATGTTGATGCAGCTCAAGTTCTACAGAAACTTGCTACTTTTTTTCGTTTTACATCACCGCTTCTTCGAAACGAAATGCAAACCAATCAAGATATTAAATTTTTTTGAAAAGTTTTATTGTGATCCGGAATTCATAAAGCCATGTTCGTGTATCACCAACCAATGCCTCCACTTTTGATTCAATTTTGATTTGTTTTTGTTTTGTTTTGTGTTGTTATGTAGAAAACATAGAGGGCCGTGAATTTCCCCTGTACACGCCTCTTCTTGATGACGAGGACGTTCTAACAAAGGATTTCCTCGGTAAGGGTTTGGCGCTTTAAACATGTCAATAAATTTGCATTATGATGACTACCTTCACACATCCATTTTAAATAGTTTAGTTGTAGCCACCTTAACAAAGGCTTGACTTCCAACCACCGTTCGAGAAATGAGCCCGCGCTCCTTTCATCCGAGCAAACAGCGGAAATCGAGCCCACCTTTAAGTTGTTACTCTCCTTCATTTCAAGATGCAAATCTAGTCCCGGATGTGTGTTCAATCCCTGCCTGGAGTTTAGATTAAGTTTTTAGTATTGGGTTCTCCTTTATACGGTAATTAAGGGGCAACTTCACTCCGTTGACATTTTCTGGAAAGAGACCACAAATTTTAGAGGTGACATTTTGTAACAGTATTTTGCCCTCATTCTAGAAAGTTTACGCCGCACGCCCACTGACACCCTAGAGGTTAGCGGCAGAGGTTCTCGTAGCATGCGTCGAGGTAGTCTTAAACCAAGTGTTAAACGAAAGCAGTCATCGGGAAATCGCAGTCTCAGTCCCACGGGGAACAATTCTCCCGGTAATAAACCCAGTGCCACATCGAGAAAACGTTCGACCTCACATCGGCGGAGTTGATAAAATGAACCAAGTATGATTGCAACCATTGGCATGACAGAACCCGAACGAATCTGCTGAGTGCGTGTGTTTAATGGAAGACGCGACAAAAGCATAGATTAAGTCATGACATGTCATTTGTCTTTTGTTCGTCCTGTAATAATACAAAGCGAATTACATTTTGTGAACTGTAAATATTGTGGGTATTTTTTACCGGTAATCATCGTGTTTGAATTTGTTCTCTCATTTTATACCATCTTTATTTCATACAAATATTGTAATTCAGAGAGATGCCAGACGAAACTAGGAATATTGTATCGCAATATCAGGGATATATACTAGTTGGGAAGATATTGGAGAAGGCCTTTTTAACATGATTCGCTTCGTGAAAGCAACGACTGATGCTTAGTACTCTCTTTATCGATGATAAAAGGCAACCTTAGACGTGTAACGCTCACAAAAAAATGGTCGCTGAGTCTTTCAACATTGCACAGGTTCTGCGTCGCCTTAGTGTCACTGGAAAGAAACTTGTTATGCTTGTAAAGAACAAGAATTTCAAAAACGCATGCGTCAAATCAGTTTTGCTTCTTCAGTCTTTACTTCTTACTAGGTCGATTGATCTTAGTGTCAGATGCGCGTGCGCACAACAAAGGAATACAATATCGTGCACGCGCGCAAACCAAGGGACTCAATATCGCGTACGCGCACAACAAGGGGATAAGAGATCGAGCATACGCACAGCGGAAGGAGGCTCAAGCTTCTGTAAAGATGTTTACATTTCTTAATTACATTTTCTTTATTTCCCACATTAGTTGGCCTTAATTTCCTTTACTAACTGTGTAATTTTTGTCAGGAATAGTCCTAAACTAAACATTTAAAATCAACCGACCGTAACCAGGTAAGTATCAGTTAGCCACAACAACGATGTAGTTCCTAAGATATCTACTTTGCTGATGAAAATGCGCGCATTTTCTGAGTCAGGCGAGCCTTGGTTAAATAAACCACCAAGAAATTTGTTTTAACTTTAATATAATTAAAAATGAATAATTGTACCAAACGATTTAATCACCACATACCAACTTAGATCTCTCGGACCACTGTGACTAGAAATAGATTTTAACAAGTTGAAACGGATTTATGAAGAGTACATTGCATAATTGGACATAAAAAAGCTTAGACAAAGGCACATAAGGCCTTTATCAGACAAAATAAACGACTCAGTGATGGAGCCAGAATGCCTTGCGTATATTGTGGGAACCCTTATTACCCCCAAAGGAATCGATTGTGAGACGTTTAATTTAACGGCCCCTTATGTCGCTTTTGGTCAATTGGGTCAAGACAAAGAAAAATTTCATTTAATTGATGGCAATATGCTTCCGCAAATAGTAAGGATCTTTAATTTGGTTGTTTTGTTTTTAAATGATGGCTAGTGTTATGTTTGTACGACTCTATGACTACGAGCAGTTTAATGTAGCTTTGCTTTCAAAACATGCTGTAAGCAAGTTTTCTATTCCTTGTCCTCCTATAACCTCCTCAGGACTCTAGATATTTTTAGAACAGGAAATCTTATCTACAAGGTATTTCATTAATAGTTTTCTTAGACCGCCCATTAGTGCATTGAACAAACTAATTTGATTCTTGTTAGCGCTTTTCTCAACCATGAAATTTATTGCAAATTGGACTGATGTTCCCTCTAGTCGTCTTTTGTTTAGTACGCGTCTTCATAAAATCTTTCTCGCTTGGTCACTTACGTTAGATAATAACTAAATTATAAAGCACACATAAACATAGGTGAACAACAACTTGAAAACGAAATCTCAAATGCCATGTAATTATTTGATTAGACTTAAACCAGAGCCAAACTTTTTAAAGAGAGCAGTGTTCGATGGATGCTGGACTCCCGAGACATAATTCTTATCTGAATTTGCATTCCTTGTTAAACTAATCCAAATAATTGAACAGAGCAACATTTCTATTCGCGTGGTCCTTTTGCGGGTTGCTTTGTGTTCAGCTTGATTATAAAAAGTTTAATTTATTTACAATTCAAAAGTGAACCTTTGCATTTTTCAGTCAATAGTATCGTGGATTTGGCACTCTTTGTTTACACAAGGCTAAACCTGTTATTAGTTTCCTCTATAGGAGCAGACTTGAACTGCAATTTAATAAGCGAAATGAAACTGGGAAAGAAATGAAATTTTGTCTGGATCAATAATTCTAGAGATCAGTTTCTTGTAAAGAACTTATGTAAGAGAGAAGTTTTTGGTCTATTTTGTTCACTTCAACCCAACAGTTCATAAATGAGTCATTCTCAACGTCATCAGGTGTCAATATGGGCAACTGAGTCTCTAGATTTTCCTTTAAATGCAGTTTCTTCGTGTCGAACACACTACCCGCACACACATTAGCATCAAAATGAGTTGTATTCTCCTCTGCAGCAATTTTCATGCCTGTTTGTAAGTTTTTCTCATCGGAATCGTTGACAAACACGCGTTCATTTCTGTCAATTTCAAATCCCATCGCGCTATCAAGCAGCATTTGTCTTTCTTCTTTCCATTTCATGTTAGTTAGGGATGATCGTGAACGTGACATATTTGAACGGTCCACTATTGTCTCTCTCTGAAAAACATTTTGTCTTTCGTCTTTGTTTTCATTCCAATTGTGATCACATTCGAGCAATGTCCTGGTATAACCATTAGAAATGCGTGTCTTTTTCATTTCTTTGCCATCATCCTCCGACGCACTTCTTCCTTGAAGTTTTTTATTTGTCGCCGTAGACTCAATGGAAATAGGACCTGGTTTTCGGCACCCACTCTTCCCATCACCACTAGCGTTTCCATTGCCATTGGTGTGTTTATACACCGCTAATCGGAACTTACCACTGCGGATTTTGTTCATTGCATTAGGATTTATTTTATAAACACCCGCATCCGTTTTTTGCCCGTACTCACAGTGAAAGAAACTTTTAAAGACGTTCTTAAACTCTTTATTTAGCGTTCCGTACGCAATAGGATTGAATGCGCTATTTGCCATTGGGAAAACGTTTGAAAATCGCAAAACGTATACAAAGTACTTGGAGTTCCACAAGTCACCGTATTTAGACCACAAGAACACAACATGTTGAGGAAGCATACAGATTGCGTAGAGTATCACAAGGGCGACCAACATGTTGGTTATCTTTGAAGTCTGTTTCATTCTCTGCCTGACTGCAGCTGCTATCACTTGAGAGCTTTTAGGAAGCATCTTCATTGTGTTGTTCTTGCGAATCTTAACCGCGATTAGCACTGCTAACACTACAATAATGGCCAGAGGTAAGATGTATTGAATCACAAAAATGAAATTCCAGTAGAGCTCGGAATAAAGAGGATCCGGCCAAGTCTCATCGCAGTAAACTTTACCAGGCCCAGGTCTTACTATCCCAGCCACATATAGAAGTGGAGAACAGATTACAAAAGAGGTGATCCAAATTACAGCCAGGATGATTTTGACTTTTCTACCGCTTAATCTGGGTTTCATCGGATAAGCAATTGCTCTGTACCGGTCGCTTGTTATGGCGAGGAGTGTCCCGATTGAAGCTGATAAACAGAGCGGAACCAGTATGTAGGTAAAATGACACATGAAATTTCCTGTAGCCCAGTTCTGGTTGTTTTCAAACGCTGCCATTTGGGTCGGTAAAAAGATCACTACGTTTAGTAAGTCACATAGAGCCAGATTGAATGTAAAAATGTTATTGCTCGTCCGCATTCGCTTACGACGGATCACAGCCACACAAACCACAGAGTTACCGATGATTCCTACGATGAACACGACGATAAATATCAAACGAAGTGTCCAGCGTAAGTAAGATGGCTCGATAAAGTTGCCACTTGCATTAGTAGGGGCGCTCGTGAAATTCTTCTCGCCCATGATGAGATTATAACGTTTTGCAGTTGTAGGAAGACAAAATCACTCCATTTAGCGGCAGTTTGTGTTGTTGCGGTTTACTAGCTTTCGGGTTCAAGCCAGCTGATTTGACCCGTGAAATTATTGCAATAAATGCAGGATTGGTATACTTGTAAAGTGCCTTCTTTGATTGAGCGGTTAATGTCGCTCTTCAACAACTTCTACCCACTGAAAAGTTTCGATTGGCTGTCCTTCAATCATCGGTTAACCTGCAATTAAAAAACTTCTCAGTTAAAGTGAATTTTCCGCATATTAAAAGTGCGAAAGATATGTTTATCTTTGTGCGTAAATCGGAAAGCTATGATATGTAAATGTATAACCCACTTGCGAATTTCAAAGATAACCCACTCTTGATAACTATAATTAACAACTTCTCTGTAACAATTGCTACTTTGGCTAGTTCCTGTTTCTAAATGTTAAATGTGTTATACATAATTGCCGACTGTCTTTACTTCTGTGTTTTCCACCCTTTGAAAACATTGTTCTTTACAGACACAACAACGTTTGTACAAACATAGATTCTGTCTTTGCGTTGGATCCTTTCTGATCGCTTTATTGTATTCTTTGCCAACGAGATCAGTAATGCTGTGAGGTAAGAAGTCTTTTTCAAATATCTTTGTGGATTAAAGCGCGTATTTGTGTACTTTGTTTGTTTATTCCTTGGGTAATGTACAGATTTCCATGGACCTTGTTATGCGATGCAAAAATTTGTCTAATTTACGGGGACAGTAGGTGATTTTAATTAAAACTTATAAATAAAGATTTATCACTTCATAGCCCATCGCACAAACGACGTTACCTCACCATTGTTCACTGAACTCTGAAACATAGGTCAACTGCATACAATTTAATTCCCTTGTTATAAGTACAAGTAAACAATCATTTCTTGCTTTAATTCTGTTTAAAATAAATCTAATATAGAGGTAGCGAAAACTTTAAATATGCATTAATCTCAAAGCTAAGATTATCTGTGATCCTAACTTTGAGGCAGAATACTTGAGCAATCTCCTGCTGATTTTATGACACTTCTTTACAATTTTTCCCTAAGCTGTATCAGCAGCAAACTTGGATAAAATTCAGCAGTAGGTGTTTTAGCGCAAAATCGACACATTCTAGAGAAATTTAACTCAGTAATATAATAATCGATTTTATCCAACAAAATGATTTGGAGACTTTTTGCAAGAGTCCTATTTTTCATTTTTTTTCTTCTTTTTTTCTTTCTATCTTTTTTCGTGATTCAGTCGGCATCTCTAATCACAATAATTTGCAAATGAACCTTGTCAAACCAAGGAAATCAGATGTATTTCCAGTTCTCTTGTCGTTTAGAAAGGTAGAAACCTAGGAGTTCCTCTTTTTCCATTAACAACAGTTTCAATTTAGAAATATAAATGGAGTAGACCTTCAAATTGACTCTCTATGACTTTTCTATACCCCAAGTTAGAACTATTTTCACTATCAAAATGCGAACAAAATGTTTTAGATTTGAAGCCTGCGGAAAGGTCTCGCTCTAGGACTTTCGGTAAAAACAAAAGATGATATATCGTCTTCCATGGGCGTTCACAGTTATGTTAGTATGTGGTCGTGATTGAGTCTCTTGGGATATTGATTCAGGCGCAAAGTACACCTGTGATAGCTCAGTCTTATTTCAGGAGCCGCAGTCACCGCGAGCTGTTTAGAATCGTGTCGATAACCAATACGACTTTTTTACTTTGGAATCAGGAATGCCGGCTTCTTCGGTTGATGGAGTATATTTGTTATCAATCACTGACAAAGGTTTGTGCTCTTGGGTCATGTAGAAGTCATAATGTGATCAGTCTTCGTCTACTTTTAGCAGCATGCTTAATGGATTTTAGTCAAGAAAAACAAGCATGAGTTCGTTTTTCAGATGGACACAATGCCCTGTTTACGTTTTTTCTTTAAAAACATGAAAAAAAAACACCCTAGTTTAATATTTGGTTTGAAACGGAATACACTGATCTGTAAGCTTCTGCCGGCGTGGGCTGCTGAATCTGTTTAGTAAATAATTACTTACTCACAGCAACCTCTATTCTCTTGCTCCCAGTAAGTTTTTTCCTTTCGAAAACCACGGTAGGGAAGTTTCGACCCCTGCTTAGAAACAGTCTTTTTGTTACACGCTTTTGCTTCATGCAGAGCATCCACGTCGATTTGTAAACTGAAACTTCAACACTTTACTTTCGGTTCCGTGTGACTCTCGCTGGCAAGCCCAAAAGTATTTTCATTTATAGCATTGTTTCTTTTTTTATCGGAATATTGAAAGCGTGTTAGATAAGATAAAAGCAAAGTTTTTACTCTGAAATTCTTTGGTTTTTTCAGTTCCAGTTCATGTAGGCTTTATCCTGCACAGAGACAATAAACAAGAAACGGAATTGGCTAAATTGCGAAACTACACCATGCCGTTCTGCAGCACACATGATCTTCTCAGGTCCAACTCTTTCAGCCAAATCTCAAGTCGATGATTCTGTTAACTAAATTTTTTTTATAAAGGCTGATAGTTTCGAAAGAAAGTGTTTGGGGCTGCGTCGGTGGGGGTAACGAAATAATTTGGATATATCAACAAAGTTGAAATGGTAAATTGGCCACCGTAACGATTACAAAAGCTGACGTTTCGAGCTTTAGCCCTTCGTCGGAGCGAAGGGCTAACGCTCGAAACGTCAGCTTTTGTAATCGTTACGGTGGCCAATTTACCATTTCAACTTTGTTGATATATCTAAATTTTTTTATACTTTTGTTACTGTTATTTAAAGAATTTGGTTTAGGATCAAGACATCATTCCGGTATTATTTTCACATACTGTTGAACTTATGAGCAGATTCTGAAAAGAGAATCAAGATGGTCACTCTTCGGGATTAGTAGGGTAAAGAACAGCTGTGGCTATTGGCCACAGAATCCCATTTCAATGTATTCTATCGAAGATACTTTACACCTCCTGTGATGATTTCATAAAATGAACATTTTGGTTCTTGCCGCTCCCGCTGTTTTTTTAAAAGATGAAATTGTTATTAAAGGTAAATTCTAATCATTGAAGAGTTTCGTTCTGGAAAGCTTGCTTCTCTACTCACGTATTGCAAGGAAACCATCTTTTTGTAACCCAATTGCATAACAGAAATAATTCGTTTCTTAGCATCAAAATCGCAAAAGAAGATTTCCGTACCACGACAAAACGACAAAAAAATTTTTGACTCACCAACCATTGGATAAAAAGTGATGTCTTGCATCAAAAGTCTGGTGGAAAGCTGTGCTCATTATTTGTGTGTTGAACTCCGGTTTAAGCAAAAGGGTCCCTTTTACATTTAAATATATATTGTAAACACCAAGTGATGTCCAGCAGGGCTTTTGTTGAATGAGACTCGAGTCAAGTTTGTAAACAAAAAATGAGAGGGAAAAATCCTGAAAAATACATTTTTTCATTTCTACTACAACAGAAATCATCTCAGAAACATCTGCGTCTCGATTTAGAGCTTTTTTTACTTTGTATTGTTTACCCAACTCAATTAGATCAATCTAATGGCAGAATATTTCTGAATGAAATTTTCGTTTGTAGTAATAAGTGCTTCCATTTACCCTCTAATTTCGAGAAGTGTTTCATTCAATTAAGCTCATCGAATTTTCACGAAAACTTTTCTGTCGGCTGTGATGAAAAGTTTGAAGAGAGTTCACTTGACTGTATCGAATTTGCTCACAATTTAAATTGAAAATTACTGATTGAAAAGTTTACGAACCGAAAGACAACATTTTTAATTTACCAAGAAAATTGGCACTATATTTCCTTAATAATTCATGATTATTCTTTTGCTGGAAGCTTAAAGAAAGGGTTTTTCTTTTCATCTCCTTTACAGTTCACCGACAGGAAAGCGATAAAATATATCCTTCTTACTTACAGAGAAAATATTTACTTTGTATATGCATGTTTCAGTTCGGTATCTCTCTATAACCGAAACTCTATTGTGTGCGTACAAAGCAGAATTTCCAAAATTGACACTATTCTTGTCATATTTATCAAAGGTTACAAAACGTCTCATTCTGTGGGTTTTCGAGATAAAATTGAGTTAAAAAATTTTCCAAACATGGCATGCTTGCTGAAGTTAAAGACATCGCCAGGCTACAGAGTGAGGCTTTGTAGCGTGGAGTATTTTGGGATATCCGTTTCTTGCTTCAAACTGCCTCCAAGTTTCTAGGCTAGTGGTATTTGTTAAAAGTTCTGGTAAATAGAAGTATCAATGACTGTTTACTGCTTAATTCAAAAAAGCTTAATTGAAAAAATGGTTTTGAAATTCTTATTTTTTTCGCCGAAATCTTCTATTTCCTCTATTAGCCTGGACAAAAAAATACATTGTTTGTTTGAACAAGAATATTATGTCTCCAACAACTGCACAAACAATATTTGAAAGCTAAGTGACCTTCTGGAGCTTCAAAGTTAATTTTGTTGAAGGCCTAGTAACTAATATTAACCGATTCTAGGTTCCCGGCTATGTTTCGTTTCCCCTCAGACTCTGTGACGTCACGATCGAATTGAACTTAAGTGATCTATCCGAGTATTTGATTTACACGTGTGTTAGACTTTCATTTGTTAGCTTTTTTATAGCAATGGCTTGTGCTGTTGGTACTGATAGGCTGTTTATTGAATGAGTAAACCTAAGTTAAAAGGTTTTAGTTTCGAAATTAGTTTAACCAAAGGAATGCTTCTGAGATCGTATGCGAGCATGAACTAACTCGGTTTATATCGGTTAGATTTGGCTAAACTTGACCTTTCATGTAGATATTAACATTTATCTCGGAAACAGATATGTTTATTAACACGCCATAAATGCTGTTTATACTTGATCTTTTTTATCTCTTAAATATCACAACTTCGTCGCCAACTCTAGTTATTTGAGGTAGGATTTTTATTGAACTCAGCCGGCCTAATCAAGAAGTCAAAACTTCATTACAAGTATTTGAAAGAAAAACCGACCGTAGATAACTGTTATCAGAGGGCATTCCTGGACATCTGGTGACAAAAAAGAATCAGTTTTCGGTATTTCCCAAGTTGTTGATGTTCGTGCCGCAGCTTTTCTCGTCTGAGAAATGTACATGTGAAATCAGTTGTTGGATTGACGGCTGAACTAACATAAGCATCACTAAACAAATAAGTACACTGCTATTCCAGACAATGAAAATAAGAGTGAAACTCTTTTAAAATAAGAGTGAAACTCTTTTAAATTGCAATAATTATTAACTTAACCTATATAGATGTTAAAAGGCTGATAGTTTCTAAAGAAACTGTTTTGGGGCTGGGTCGGTGGGGGTAACGAAATAATTTGAATATTTCAACAAAGTTGAAATGGTAAATTGGCCACCGTTACGATTATAAAAGCTGACGTTTCGAGCGTTAGCCCTTCGTAGGAGTGAATAGGGGAATGTAGATGTTATTCGAATAGGGGAATGTTGATGTTATTCTCGTGGATTTCAGTCAAAGTGTAATCAAGGCTAAGTTTTGCTCTCCGAAAGAACAGACCATCATATTGAGGCGAATCAAATGGGTGAAATGTGTTTTTCACCGGGCTAAATAGTAAAATGAACTAGGAGTAACTTTTCACACACCGTTAGGCAATTACACTCCTCCTCGGATATTTAAGCATGGCCGAATTACTTCATTCATATCTTTTTA